AAATGCTTGCAAACTAAAGAGCCTAAGTATGAAGAAAACTTAACTAAGCCAAGTCTATATGGTTCTCCCACAATATTGAAGTCTACTCGTACTCAGCTATCTGGATCCTTGGCAATGTATTTCATATTTGTGAGTCCTCGTTTTTGTAAAACAAAATTTTGGTTCACATATGTTATTATCTTCAGGTTCTTATAATTCGAGCTCTCTTAGAAGTTCTTTTTCGTGCAGTCTTCCTTCACATGCTACTGGTTCAACATATGTTGTTGGTTGATAATCAAGGTGATTATTTATGCTGGTTGATCATGTAATGTTGGTTGATCAACTGTTGCTTGATGGTCTTCTACTGTTGGTTGCTCTTCTTGTAATCTCTCATGCACCTTTCCTTTAGTCTTCCTAGGTTTTCCTTTGTTCTTTTTAGGTCCCATTTACCTAATACAAATTAAAAAATAGTTAACGTTACAGTAATATAATACATAATGTGTGTTAAACGATTTAAGTATAAACATTTAAGTCAAACAGAGAATTATAAGTATTCATGAAGCAACATATATTCATTCACAACCAAATCTGGCATTTTCTGCTCCATCCATGTCAATATTTCTTTCAATATCTATATCAATGCTTGTCATTAATTACCCAATGTATGCATTCCATCTTCTAAATGAAAAGAAACTATAATCCCTACTCAAACCTAACCTATTTTAACACAATTCTTACCTACAAAGATGAAGCCCCACGGCTTAACCACATAAATCTATGAATCTACTTATAATAAAAATTTATAAATTATATAAAACCAAAATAAATAAACACATAAAAACTTGACTATATAAACCTAGTACGAAAATGACCAATCAAAAAAATATATTAAATTATACATCCGCGGTGTACCACAGGGTAAATCCTAGTATATATATATATTATCTAAAACCACAATAGCCACGCAAATGTTATTAATCTGTGGCTGTAGTATAGCCAGAGTATCCAAATGTGGTTGACATTGTGGTTGTTCCACCAACTTACACATCACATCATGGCTAACAAAAAACGTGGCTAAATAGTGGTTAGTCACGAACACAAAACGTGGCTAAATTTGTGGCTTATGCACAGAAAATCTTGTCACTTGGCCACTCAGTGATGTCGGCAATGATTAGAAACAAGCCGCACACACAAATCCTAGCTTAGCCAAACATGTGGCTAACTAAACGTAGCCACGAATAAATGTGTGGCTATATATTTATCACAAATGTAGAGTAGCCAAATCTTGACTAACTCAGCCACTAAAACTTTCGTGATTAATAGGTGACTAATCTGAGTCACATAACACGCCTGACTAATTCGTGGCTATGTAGCCATGAAAAGCCACAAATGTATTAAGCTACGACGTTATGGTCATGAAATATTATAGTCACCAAGCATTGCTATAATAGCTCATAGCCACGATATTAAAAAACAGCCACAAAAATTTGAGTGGCTTTAGGGATTTTTGTACTAGTTTATATAGATAAGATATTAAAGTATTATCATGTCATTGTAGTACAATAGGTTTTAGTCAAATCAAGTGGATGCTAGCAGTCAAGATGCTAGCAGAAATGATTAAGTCAAGCAAAGCATAAAATGGTTTTGTTTTCTAACAACCTATGTGAACACGTTGAACATTCAAGAAAACTAAAGCTGCAGAACATGGACAATCAAGCATAAGATAGAACGAAATAAGTATAAATACTATCAATACTAACAACATAACAGAACAAGCAAATAATAAGTAAGTATACAGAGAACACAAATAGAAAAAAAGATCATAAGGATGGGTTATTGATGTAGGGGGAACATGTTAATCTACTTAAGATGATTAAAAAATTGTACAAGCTGATCCCTAGACCATGAACCTCTAATACTAGTTAATCCAATCTCTAGGCATAAACTATCAAACTTGAACTACTTCCTAATCTCAAATCTCTTTGATTAAACATGCATTAAACAAATATTAAGAAACAACTTATTAATGTCAATGCAACCACGTAGGAGGTTTTATATGATCGCGATATATGAAACAAATATATGAAAAAGATTAAGTGATTATGGAAGAGAATATATATATATATATATATATGAGAAAGATTTTATTACACAAGAACACTCTCAAGAGAAATACAAAGGACTCTTAGGACTTAAGATTTTAGACACTTCAGCTTATGGTGAACAAACCTCACCAAGCTTGATATTTATAGTACATGACCTAAGGAATATTACATAGCATATTTCTTTCTTCACAATAATCATACATACTTTACTTCACATCATACTTCACATCAATACTCTACTTCACACTATACTTCACATCAATACTTTACTTGATACTTTACTTCATGTCTTTATTTATTTCACATCAATACTTCTCTCTTTTCCCCCTGTCTCCAAAAGAGAGGTGACTTCCATCTTATCCATTATCACTTTCTTCTTCACTGTCAGAGACGTCATGCATAAAGGAGATTCCGTTAGGGATAAAATACCTGACTTGGTATCTCGTCCTTTCAACTCGATATATTGGTTGGTCAAGGTTGGAACGGGGACACGTGTACTGATCATGGAAGCCCAAAAGTATTTGTCGTATTTCTTCAAAAAACTCTTGTGGGTACATGTATTTGTTATGCCAGTAAGCCGTGTGGGGACAAAAAGGATTTTGGTCAATGTCAGACTCAATGAATCCATTCAGCCTTGCCATTTGTCTTGTCCTGTGATGGAAGTTAGTTGGGCTGAACGCATAATTGTTGTTGCTCGTCAAGACTTGAGCATCATAGGAGTTTCGAACTGTTGTCTCTCCATTTTTTTCATTTTGGATTTTTGATATCTTAAATGTCACTAATATCTCTAATCTTTGTTGTGCATGAATATGTTCTTGCCACCATGTAGCGTCATGAAATAGAGTGAGCCACTTTGTAAAGGATCTTGTACTGTGGCTTTCTCCTTTTCAAGAGGCACTTTGCCAAGTATTGTAGTAGCTGGCTCTTATGAACCATCACTGCAATGTTGTAGAGGTCTGCCAGATACCATAACAGATGATATGCTTCCTTGGGGAATTTACCATTGTGAGCAGGATTCATGTTAATGGTAGTAAGGAAGGGGAATACCTTGGTCGAGCCCGTATCTGTGGACATATAGCTTTAGAAAACCTTGTAATGTTCGGACTCCCTACATATGAGAACATGGTTGAGCAGTTCCCCGTGCATCTCTAAAGGTAGATTAGTAATCATGCTTTTTAGAGCTTCTTCATCTGGATTGTCTGGGGTGAGTGTGTAGATAATTAGAATGATGGTTAAGATTTTTCGTTGGGTTCTTGAAAGAAATTCTGGAAGAAAGTTGTCTTTTCCTTTTATATGGTTGACATCAAACTTCCACTTTGAGAACCAACTTGCCCATCGAAGTAATTGTGACTGTGGGAAGACCTTTTGTTTGAACTGTATCATCTTTGGGAAAGAAGACATATCCATCTCGATAAGGAAATGTTGACCAACTAGATGAAACTCGAATTTTTCAATTCCTCTTTTCACTGTGATAATCTCTTTGTAGGTCGAATGGTAATGCCTTTCACTGTCTTTGAAAGCACCACTCTTGTATCCGCATATATGTTTCTTTTTCCATCTTCTTCTAAGAGAACTGCTCCTCAATAACAATCACTTGCATCTGTTTGCAGAATTCTTTTTCCTTTTGATGGGATCCTCAGTGCCGGTAATGTCAATGAGGTCTTCTTTTTGTAGCTGATCAATTTCTTCAATCGAAAGGTTTTAATGGTCTGGATTCATTTCTGGATGGCTAGCCTTGGTAGGGTTCATATTTTCATTCTTTTTGAAGGGTAAAGATATGAACATATTATGGGTTCGTCCATAGTGGTGCCGAACATTTTGTGAGGAAAAAGAAGAATCCAATTTTAATCCAATTTCACTTATGTAAAAAGAAGAATCCGCTTACATGCCTTTAGAATAACCTTACCAAAATTCATTACATTTGCATTAGTTTTGATACGTGAAACATGTATTTTTATACCCTTCGAGTTCAATTCCCCTTAGCGATGTAGCATAAGAGGTATCGATCCAGATGGATGAATTGCAAACAATCAAGATATAACAGATCTAATCAAGTCAAGCCCAGTAGTTCAGGGGTTGGTTTAATAAACTCTAAAGCATAAAAGTAAACTAAAGAAGCAGAATTGAAAGCAGATAATCAATCAGATAAACAAAGGGTCATAAGGATGGGCTAATGGGGTGATGTATCCTCTTAGTATCTTTGGGATGCTTAACATGCTCAGATAGATCTAATCC